AGTAAAGTAATTTTCAATGTTTTTTTACCTCATCTTCGGATTGAAGCAGGGCATTTCATTGAAGCCTACGTCATCAAAACGCAGTACAATCACCAAAGTTCTTTCCAGATGGCAAAAAGGAATGTTCAAGAGCTCAAAGACACTTTTTTAAGATGTTCCAATTTTCTCTAATTACAGCATTTCTATAAAACTGACCCATTTTCTCAAATACTCTAAAATTTGTCTCTCGATAAGTAACCCATATATTGGGAGAAGTAGTTAAATATATAAAGGAACATGAGCTTCCGATAGGCAGGAGGTTACGGATAAGGTTGATTACGGTAAGAGCCAAGACCGTAACGATTTCCAGGGCATGATTTTTTGAAATCTGAAAAAATTGGTTGACAAGCTAGATATTTCAGGCCTTTTACTGGTAGCAAAATGTGCTCCTCAGAGCGAGTTCCTTCCTTTGATGATTCACGGGAGACCAAGAGGTGGTTTTGTTCCCCTGCCAACGGTGAGCTTTTCTAACCACTATTCCCGACATAAATCACACAATATATATTCAGAGAAATGAGACATATGCCCAACAGACATTAGGCATCATCGTGGCAGATTGGTTTGTAAACAGAGTGAACCATTTCAGCGATTATCCGGATGTCTACAATCAGGTAAGAGGTAGCTCCGTTATTTCCTTCGATTTGGCTATCCTTTTGGTATCATACTGTGGGAGCTAGGCCTTTGTTAACAAGTTGGAAAAACAGTTTAAGCGACATTTCACTGTCTTACCTGGGAGACTTCAAATTTCGAGACGCCCAGAGGGATCGAATCGATCAATCGGTTCGAACTCTTCAAGATCGATTAGGTTCTCCATAACGGCTCATATCAGGGCATCAATTGAGCTTTCAAGAAAAGAGCCCTCAAAACTTTCTACATTTTTTCTGCCCTCCAAATAGATAGATTTTTTGTAACAGCTTGATAATTCAATCGGTTCAATCCTTGTCGTTACAGCTTAGCCGTATCTTACAGCATAGATACATTACTTACTCGGATCTTACTTTGGTAGTGGATAGCGAAAGCATTACCAAAATGGTGTGGCTCCTCGGAAGGGCAGAATCAATTATATTACCTTTTTGGTTTCTTTTTTTTCGAAAGGAGCAAAGAAGGTGACTTTCATATGGTAGAGTGGGTCTCATAATTCCCTAAATTTTTCCGGGAGCTTCTCTGTCTGAAGGACTGACAAGGGCAAGCAGAAAAGCAAACAATTTGATAAAAAAAAGAAAAACTAATAAAAAATGGAACGTTGAAAACGAAAACTCAAATTTGCTGTCATCACAATCCTTCACAATTTACTTTGGGAAAGAAGGTTGTTTTCAGAGGTACTGGTACTATGATCAATGGTACAGGACTGGTGGCCCAGCATTCTTGATGCTTGGAGGAGAAGGGGCACAAGATCCGTCCTGGCTCCAACAAGGTTTGAAGGAATTATGAATTATTTCCACTTATTGAGTCAGTTAGAAGGAATACAATCTTTGAAATCATTCAGCGTTAAGCTTTTCAATTATGGGATGCGCCCCGCACCTAACTTGCACTTAGAATCGCAGTGGCACTTTGGTCATTGTGTGGTAGATAGCCCATGCAGCGACTTGTGGTGGCCGGCCGATGTACTAGCTACTACTCTTGTCCTCCTAGACGGGTCTGGTACCAATCAAACGAGGGATAGGAGGAATGGTCAGCATGGGCGAGTACAGACCCGGGGCTCAATCCTCGGACCGTGCATGAATGACTTTCCCTCACTTTCCACCATATCGCCTCCACCCTTTAGAAGAAGTAGACGAGAAATAAAGCGGAAAGAGATATTGCTTCACAATGACGATTTTACAGAAGACCTTGAATGGATCCAATTAGCAAAGCAGCATGGCGCAATGCTCTTCCTCCTGGAACATCGGTACTATGGTCAAAGCAGGCCCACACCGTAGGTGCAAGTCAATTGAAAAATACCTGTGAATACACCTACTGACTTTCAGGGACATGTCGACGGTTAATCTTTGGACCCTTAGTTCAGCTCAAGCAATAGAGGACACGGCCGCATTCATCATAGGGATGAAGGCAAAGTTCCCACAACTGGCCAATGTTCCCTGGGTTACTTTTGGTGGATCATACGCAGGTAAAGTAAT